TTGCATTAGGATTTTTATCGGAGACGGCGAAGGTTAGTGGCTGATGGTCAGTGAAGATTTTCAAGCCTTTTACCCCGTAGAGGTAATTTCGGAGACTTTTTAATGCCCATACAATAGCGAGGAGTTCCCGCTCATTGGTCGCATAATTTTTTCACAATCACGCAGGGCGCGTGATATCATGGTGATTGGACGGCCGTCTTGAGATAGCACTGCCCCTAGACCAAAGCCTGACGCATCCGTCGTTAGATCGAATGGCCTCTTAAAGTCTGGGTATGAGAGGAGAACGTCTTCTGATGCTAAGATTTCTCTCAGTCTGTCAAAAGATTCTCTTTGCTCATTTGTCAAATTTATGTCAATTTTTCTTGACTGGTATTTACTGGCCTTTCCATTTTCCCCTTTCAGAATATTTGTATTCAACGCTCTTTTTAAAGAACTTTGACTTTTCTTGGGATACCCTCATGCCTGCCTCCAAAAGTTTATTGAGTACCCAATCTACATCTTTTACATGGTCCTCTTTCGTTTTGGAGAATATTATGACGTCATCTACATAAACGTAGCATATTTTAGAGATTCCATCTCTTAGCACGTCATCAATGGCCCTTTGGAAAATGCTAGGGGCATTTTTTAGTCCGAATGGCAACCTACAGAATTCGTATTTGCCATTGTTTATGGAGAAAGCAGTTTTTTCTCTATCCCTTTCCGCCAATTCTATTTGGTGGAATCCGGATTTTAGGTCGAGTGTTGTAAAAAATTGGGACTCGCCTATGTTTGACAGTATTGTCGAGATCGATACCCTATCCCTAGTATCTATCGTCCACGGTTTTCTGGTTTAGCTTTCTGAAGTCGATGACTAATCGCTTCTTTTTTACCCCGTTTTGGTCTGTGCCCTTTTTTGTCCACGACCCACGTAGGGTTGTTATATGGGGATCTGGATGGTCTGATTACGCCGTCCGCGAGAAGTTGTTTAACCTCTGCATTGACGAATTCAGTTACACCCATGGGGTGAGGGTATGACTTGGAGTATACTGGCTCCCCGTCAGTTTTGATTGTAGCAATAGTGTTTATATTAAAAGGTAGAGCTTCGTCTGTGTCGGCGAAGGCTCCATGATTTTTTACAATCATTTTATCGAAAGTGGCTTTAATTGCCACGGGGACGTCCTCGTCATCGATTTTAATGAAGTTGACGTTTTTTGCTTTAGTAAACTGGATACTTTCGTTTCCGTTACTTGTCCGCAAGACATTGTTGGTAAAATCCAGTGTCGCATTCACTTGTTTAAGCAAGTCGAGTCCGATAATACCGTCGAGGTCTTTGAGGTTCTTTAAGATAAAAAAGGGTGTCTTTACGTTGAACACCGAAACTAGACATTTTTTGTCGATTTTAGTAGAGCCATGGATTGACTTTACTGTAAAAGGTTTCTCCGCTTCCACGACGCCTTTCAGCCCCGGGAGTGGAGTAATAAAGTTTTTAGAGGTACCCGTATCCAATAATATTCTTATTTCTTTTCCTGCCACCTTACGGGTAATATAGGGGAGCAGGGACTTTACCCTAAAAAATTGCAGGAGTCTTCTGCTTCTAGGTCGTCTTCTATCTCAGTGGCAGAAGCTTGAGCGACTGAGTTGTAGTCCTCATTGTCGGATTCTTGTTCCGGCAAGAAGTTTATCTTTTGTGGGAATCGATTCGACTGCCCTTTTTGCCAAGTTGTAGGTTGCCTGAACCGAGAGGAAGTGTCAACTTCCATCGGCTCTGGTGCTGGCTGTTTATTATCTGCGTTATTACGCGGTTTTTGCCGGGATGAACCACTTTGGTTATTATCCCTCTGGGTTCGGACAAAGTGAGGATTCTTTTTTATTGCCCCCGAATTTTGGTTTTGTTCATAACTTCTCCAGCTCGTTTGTCGCTGGTTGTTTGGTCTGAACGATTTTTCCTCTGTGTGCCGAGCAAAGCTGGCTGCGAAGATGGTTCTTTCGTTGCTCGATTCAGCTTCTTGCGCTAGCGCTAATGCTGACGGCAAATCTCGCGGCTGTGCCGGGAAGACTGCTATCTTCAATGATTTTTTCAAGCCAGAGACAAACGCGTGTAGGGCGTCCTCCCTGTGCTGCTCATTTAGGACGGCCGCTGCGGCTGCGTCATGGGTCATGATGGTTTTGTTTGTTAGAAGTGTTAACTTGCGCTCAATTTCATCATAGTATTTAAGAAGGGGCAGTTCCCCCTGTCTGGACAAGCTTAATTCTTGCTTAATTACATGCGTCGGAGTTTTGTCCGCGTATGTGAAGTCTAAACGTGCCAATATGGCATTGAAATTAAACACTGTGTTGAATGAAGATAGGGCGGCAGCTGCCGGGCCGGTTATTTTATTTTTTATTATTCCCACGGCCTGATAATGGCGGCTGCTGCCTTCATAGTTTTCGAAAACTTTATATGCTGCACAGGCAGCTTGTCTCCAGGCAACGTAATTTTCCTGCTTCCCATCAAATGTTGGGACCGACTTCACCATGTCGAGTGGTTCGTCGCAAAATACCTCTCCTGGCTTAAGCTCAATTTCGGTATATGTTTTGATTTTTGGGTTATTGTCCCGAACTCTCAATGAGTCCAACTCCTGTTGGACAAGGGCTAATCTATCCTCGAATAATTTTTGCTGCCTTTGAAGTGCGTCCTGTATGGCCGCCTCCATGGCAGTGATTTGGACTTGCTGCATGAGCAAGACCTGTTCTTGTGCTTCTCTGCTGGTCGACTGACCCGCTTCAGAGTGAGCGTTTCGTCTTGCCTCCATTCTTCTATTATATTCTTCAAGAACTTCCTCGTCTGAAGGAATTTCCTCGTCTGACAGTTCCTTACTCATAAATCTGTGTTTTTATTCCCACCCTCCAAGTGCTGAAAGAATGAAAAATGTAGAACGATTTATCGTTCGCCCAACCTCCAATTCCTGTAAGAGTATTTGATATGCGTAAAGGTCGGAAGTTTCAAGAATGTCTTTTTTTTGTTGTTAATTTTCTAAAAACTGTATCGTCTTCACAGTTGGATTTTTATAAATTGAAAATTTTAAATCCTGATTTATTAATTAGTGTTTTAATAAGAAAAAACGAGTCCACTGTATTATTTTGTACGTATGGAATTTTTAGGTTTCGAGGAAATATCCCCGATTTATTTATTTTGAATTTAATTTTAATTAAATAAAATTAGTTAATTTCCTTAAACTTCGGTAAAATATTCCCGATTTTATTTATTTTTAATTTTACTTGGGACAAATAGAACTATGCCCACTGTAATGGCAACTGAGCTCGATTTTAATTGGCGGAGACAAGAAGCCTACTCACATTTCTTATATTTATTCGCCGTCGTCGCTGTCGCTGCGGTCGTCGCTGCTACCGTCGCTGCTTGTCGTCGCTGCTGCCGTCGGTGTTTTTTTTTGCTGTCGGGCTATGCAGAATGGCTCTGCCCGTGATGATTTTATTTATTTAATTTTTATTTTGGCTATGCTGCCAAGTTTGTTGATTTTTTCTTTGGCTATGCTCCGGGCTCTGCCAAGTCGTCGTTGTTGCCGTCGGTGTTTTTTGCTGCTGGGCTATGCGGAATGGCTCTGCCCCTGATGATTTGATTTATTTAATTAAAAAAATTTTTTTAATTAATTTTTTATTTATTTTGGCTATGCTGCCAAATTTGTCAATTTTTTATTTTGGCTATGCTCCGGGCTCTGCCAATTTCTGAATTATTTTTTCCACAATAACTGTTTTTCGACTTTTTATTTGTCGATTTATCGCACTATTGCCACTGTTCGTCGCAATTTATATTTGTTAAGTTTTCCTTCTTTTTTTTTTTATTCACTGCACAAGTTTTGTAACTTTTCACAAAGTAATTCACTGCTTCCGCGCGAGTGTTTCTTTTTTTTTTTTTTTTTTTTCGGCTAACTTCTTTTAAGCGCGGTCGTGAGATCGGTTACGCTGGGCGCCAATTATATTTAGATTGGTTACTACCTGTTTCCCGATCGCCTGTGAAGGCAATGGTAATAAAGGAGACGAGTTTGGTTTCAATTCTATTTATTGATCTTGACCCGCTAGGGTAAGATATAAAATTATTGTTACAGTGGTTTATTAAATTGCACAGCTACGGCTGTGGAGTTATGATTCTAAACTAAACTAAAGGTCTACGGCGGCCGCGGCTTGTAGTCTTTGGGTAGCCGCAGCGCTGCCGCCAAGATGCCTGGTCAGCACTTGGTATCCGGCGCATGTCGATCATGCGCCGCCCGAATGTTCCCGGCACCGTTGGTCAGCAACTTGTTGCCGGGCGACGGACTCCGGGCAATTGCCCTCGGAGTGCTTGGTCACCAGATTCGCCGTTGCGCGTGTTGGCCACCGGATGCGGCCTGCAACTCCGCGAATTTGCCTTATGGGAAATGGATGTGTTAACTTATATATATATATAATATATCCCTTTTAATTTTAGCCATTAATTTAACCAGAATGGATCTATTCTTCATGATCCAGTTGCAACCTGCAAGGATATACAAACTTCGGCATGGCGAAGTAAGCTTCCTTTCTTGTTTTTAACATGTAAAACGCAGAACACTAGTGAATAGCGCGTGCCAAGGTATGTCCGACCAAGGCACTGCCTTGAAATTAGAACCACTTAATGCCGTTATCATACATAAAAATTTAAACTGTGCCTATAAGACATTTTTAATATTATCTAATATGCCTAAGTATCCCAACATTTTTTTATTTCATTTATACTTTATAAACTTCGCTTAAAGGTTTCCAAACATGCCGCGAAGCAACTGACTGAAAAAGGATTTCATAACTTAAGGGAAGCTCCTAATTCACTGTTCTCTTATTTGACTGAAAATAATTATGTTAAAAATATGTTATAAAAGAACACGAAAGAATAACAGAGAGCTGTTCAGAAAAGACGGGAACTTTTGACAAACAGAAATTGATTATCCATGTACTTTTAAAATTCTGCATAACCCCTTTATGACACAAAACATTATACCATCTTATTTCAGATTAATGCGTGAGGAAGAGTCACTCGATAACATAAAACAATATTATGTTAAATGCAAGAATGAAGATGGAAAATATAATGCAATCCAAAATGTATATGGTTGCATTAGCATTGGCCAAGCAATTATATTTTGTCATGTAAGTATTCCTTTTCTAAGGAAGCTCATTTTTGAAAGTCTAAATTTGTAGATTTGTTGATTTTCCGATAACTTTCTCAGGTTTAGTAACAAGATTGAAAGTGCCTGATAAGATTCAAAATAATTAAAAGAATATTTTTATTTTTTATGAACAAATCGTTCTCAATAAAAGAAAATATATATTAGTCGAGCTGAGGGAAGTTTTATGTGTAATTTAATATTTAACCCTCTAATACCCAAGAGTGCCTCTAGACACTTATTATATAATTTGTATTATCTAGGAGCCTTTTAATTATTTTAATTATACTTGTCAATTCACAATAAACATGTGATCTTATGAGTGAGTAGAAGGTTTCAAAGCTCTCTTAAGCTTTATAACGGGACTTTTTTCGTCTTGTTTACATGCATCATACATTTGCGCGCAAAAATGTTGGTGTGGTTCGTATAGTGTTTTTTTGTTTATGAATAAAAGTGAAATAACTTCAAAAACAGCTAAATAAAAATTATTGTTCTTGAAGGTAAGATATTAAATAATCCAAATCAAGTTGCATATTTGCCACTTTATACAAATTGTGCGTTGCAGCGGTGAAATTGTGATAAGGCACTTGTTCGATTTACAAGAAAACTACAATTAGTACACACTTGTTGATGCCATTTTTGAAATTAAAAGCTACATTTACCCAAAAAAAAAAAATATTCGACTTCGTTTTTTTTCATATATAATATATAATATCAAACACGCCTCTGCTTAGATTTGTTCTTATATGTATGTATAAAGCTTACGTACATTTTTTTCTCTTAACATAGCTTACAGATTTATTATTGTACTATATTACTTATCATGATTTGCAATTTAATTAAATTTATTATTCTTACATTTTTGTTTAAATTTTATATAGTTAAATAAGATTCTAAATTAACATTTGAATTAATCTAAGCAATTTATTCATTTTTATTAAACTGGCCTTACAATGTATTCAATTTTTTTGTTTCAATTCCTCTGGCCTTACAACCTTTCCCTAAAAACGACGTCTTTATTGTCTATCATTTGTTGTTAATGCAGAAGATACTTCTTCACTTTCCATTTGTGACGCCTGTAGGCGCACAATATATCTTATAAGGAAGAAATAGAATAAAATAGAACCACTTAGGGACATAAGAAATGGATTGGCGATATTAGGAAGATAATTTGAATTAAATGCGCGCGCGCGCCACTTATCGTGAAGGAGGGTCACACTGGACCGAATGGAGGCTGGCCACACTATTCGGGGAAAATCCCGCACAGGACTCTGGCCACACTGAAGCCACGCCAGGGCCTATATATAGAGGACCACGGCCCTGGAGTAATGACTTAGCAGCCGACTGCGATTGGGTCGAGTTAACCTCCCCAGTAGTTAGCAGCGAAGTCACGGGAACTCAGGTTCCTATTTATAAATCGTAGTTACTGCCGACTTTCGAGTCCGATTCTCTCTGCTGACTTGCGAGTCCACAATACAGCCGACTTTCGAGTCCACAATACTGCCGACTTTCGAGTCCGATTCTCTCTGCTGACTTGCGAGTCCAATCTCTGCCGACTTTCGAGTCCGAGTCTCTCGGCTGACTTGCGAGTCCGAAACACTGCCGACTTTCGAGTCTTATTCTCTCTGCTGACTTGCGAGTCCAAAATACTGCCGACTTCAGAGTCCCATTCTCTCTGCTGACTTTCGAGTCCGAATCTGCAGACTTTCGAGTCCAAACGTCTTCGAGCAGACTTTCGAGTCCGAACTTCTCCGAGCTGACTTTCGAGTCCAACAAACGGCGCTGACCCGACTGTCGAGTCCGACAACTACAGGATTCGGTTGACTTTCGAGTCCGAACGCATTCTCTCGTGGAGGACTTTCGAGTCCGAACGCATTCGCTATTGGGTGGCTTTCAAGGCCCATACCCTGGCGGGACTATCGGCACCCCCCTATCGGACAGCCGCACTCGGGACGAGGAGGACGAATCGGAACTACGGCGTACCCCCAGAATCGAGATCCGGCATGAAATTATTGAAATTGTACCTTTTAAGTAAATAAACATTAAGATACATTTACAGCATAATCCTCTAGCGTTCTACTCTGGGACGGGGTCGGAATCTCTTACAGCAACCACGCCTGAACCAAATAAATATATCTGCACAGACCCTGAACGTCCCGCTGACTACCCGTGGACGACAGGACGTTACAGATTGGCGCCCGAACAGGTTGAAGTGGTTGCAAGAGATCGACACCAAGAGTAATGGCTAGCAGGCAGATTTAAGAAAGTGGCAGCAAGACCGTGAGCCAGAGCAACGACCACAAGGAAACGGTCGAGGATTGTAATAGCTGGACGGACTCAAAGCTAAGAGATACAATCATGGAGTGGAAGAGAAGCGTGGAGATCCTGGATCAAGTGAGGAGCTGGGAAATACGAAAATAACCCGCTTATATACGTCTTCCTGGTACCGTATGGCTTGCGCCAAAGATGCCAATATTTGGACACTCTAAGAACTATTGCGTCCAGGACCCTATTTGTGGTAAATGTAGTGGTCCTCATATGACTGGATCTGCTTTATGCACTAGTAACGTAAGCTTATGTATTAACTGCGGTGGCGACCATGTTTCGTTTGACAAAAGCTGCCCTGTCAGACTGTAAAAAATGAAGATCCTTAAACCAAGACCCAGGCTTCCGTTGACTAGTTCTCCGGTCTCAAGAAAACAGGCTCATAGTTCTCCACGAGAATTTATTTCAGCTGAGGCGTTAAGAACTAATATTTCTTATGCAGATATTGCTCGTTCTAACACTATTCATAGCAGGGCACGTGATGCTATTGGTATATCAACATCGGATCAATCCCTTAATAACAAATTCTTCGCGCTAGACGATTCCATTCGTGCCATTAATAACAGAATGGACCAACTTTTCAAGCTTGTACAAGAAACCGTAGAAGCCAACAAAGCATTTAGAGAACTTGTTCAGGTTCTTATTTCACGTATTCCGAAATGACCTCATCAAGCTTAAAAATCGGATTGTGGAATGCTCGTGGATTAATGAGAGGCTCTGAGGAGCTTCGAATATTCCTCAGTATTCATGATATAGACATAATGCTAGTCACTGAAACACTTATGCGTGAGGAAAGGCGCATTTTCCTTCCTGGATATCTCACATATTTTGCCATTCACCCCAGTGGCAACAGCAGAGGTGGCTCTGCAATCATCATTAAATCTAGTTTAAGTCATAGTCCTCTCCCTCCTACCGCTAGCAATGATAGACAGATAGCGAGTGTGCTTCTGCACACTTCTGATGGAACAGTCACTGTAGCTGCTATATATCTTCCACCAGCAGAAAGTTGGACGCAATCTAGCTTTATATCCATGTTCGCCACCTTGGGTAATAAATTTATTGCTGGTGGCGATTTTAATGCCAAACATGCATGGTGGGGCAACTCAAGAGCCTGTACTAAAGGTAAACGCTTGCAAGAAGTCATCGCAAATGGGCATTACCAGGTTCTGGCTACGGGCGAACCTACGTTCTACTCCTACAATTCCCTATTAATTCCATCAGCGCTTGACTTTTTCGTTACCAATGGATTTGCTTCAGGCAGACTTCACGTACGTGCTCTACATGAACTCTCGTCGGATCATGTACCTATCTTGGCTGAACTGTCCTCCACGCCGTTGTGGAAACCTCATCGCCCACGACTACTTGCCCATAATGCTAACATCAACATTTTTAAATCCCATCTGAAATCATCATCAGAAATCGACATGGAGTAGTGGGTCCTAGACCTCCCCAACTCCCTCCCAGAATTTTAGCGCTGCTTGGACTTAAACGAAGAGTTCGTAGTGAACATGCTAGAACAGGAGATCCTCGTATACAACAGATCCACAGAAGACTTGCCAATCGCTTGCAAAGGTTCTTGCTCGTAGAAAACAGACGCAAATAGACAACTTTTTGGAAGACCTGGGTCCTGATATGAGTGCAAATTACTCGCTTTGGCGTGTCATGAAACGATTCAAAACTCAGTCCTCCCCAAAGTCAGCAATCAGAAATCAGGCTGGGGGCTGGTGTCGCACTAGCTTAGAAAAAGCTGAAGTGTTTGCTGATAACCTTGAGCAGCGTTATAAGCCCTTTGATTATGCCCCTGATAGTTTGTGTCTTCAAGTGGAAGCGTATTTGGAGTCGCCGTTTCAAATGTGCCTTCCTGCTAGAAGTTTAGAAGTTGGATACTTTCCGAAAGTTTGGAAATCGGCCAGCATAATCATGGTTCCCTAGCCTGGAAAACCGCCGCACAGTAGCGCCCCTCGAACAATTAGCGTTGCAAAAATCAAAAAAGTCATGTTCGCAAAAACGATTTTAACCATACTTATTCGAAAGGAAATTTAACAAGGATTCAGAATCTGCAATAAAATCAATTTTAAGATTTTTTTTGTAGAAGTTATGAGCATTTAAAGTTGAACTTTGTTTCGTTTTTTGCATCATACAAAAAAACATGTGTAAATTGGTCGACTTTCAGGTAATATTACAAAAAAACCATGAAACCAATGGTCATGGTTTTTACTTTAAATGATAGATACATTCATAAACTATTAAAGAACCTAAAAAAAACGACACTTTGGTTTGGGCTTCTACAGGTAAATCGCTACCTGCCAGGTGTCAATTTTTTCACCTTTTTCTGCCTAAAGTAGTCTATATCTTCTGACGCCAATGAAAGCCACTAACTACACTATGACTACAAGTTCCGTGGATCTTTCCTGGATCAGAATTAACTTTCATCGGCTGCGTCGAGCTGCGTCTGCGGAAATGCAACGCAAAAAACCAAAACAACTCAGGGTAAAATATACCAAAATACCGACACAATTTCATACATTTCAAGAAATATACTAACTGTAGCGCGTGGCGGTTACACTTCGAATTAAACAAAAAATTTTTTTTTCAGTTTTCAAATTATTTTTATTTGAGCAAATACATAAAAATAAACAAAAAATTAAATAAAAATTT